CATTTCATGATGGCAGTGTACCACCTTCTTCAAACACTTACTAGTTTTTTTTTTTTAAATCGGTACCAGGGATTGAACTCAGAACTGTGTGCTTGCAAGGCCGTCGCTTATGCTGCTGAGCTAAATCCCCAGCCCCACTTACTAGTTTTTTTTTTTTTTTTTTTTTTTTTGTCTTTTTCGTTTTTATCGGTACCAGGGATCGAACTCACGACTGCCTGCTTGCAAGGCAGGCGCTTAACGCTGCTGAGCTAAATCCCCAGCCCCCACTTACTAGTTTTTAAAGGAGTAGTTGACCATTTTAAGGAAAGCACTACTGTTTGGTCTAAATGCCTGGAAATGAAGGTCCAAGGGAACTGGGGACAGACATCCATATCATGGGACACTAGTGACATTCCAGAAAGCATTTAGAACTGGGAAAAACGTTCATGTTATGTTGTTAGGTGACAGATATAGCATATACATCCCATCCAGCAAAAAACCCAAGTTCATGTGTGAATGGCCAAAGGCTTGGACACATGCTCAGGGGCAGGGCAGCGGCACACCTACTTTGTCCTTTTCATGCTAATGTCCTGGATGACAGGCCTCTGCCCCTCCAGGAATACCGCTGGCTTTGTGCATGGTGCCCAGGATCTAGTATGTGTTGTTTTCCACCCAAAACACAGTGCTTTGAAACACTGGCCATGTAGCACCCAGGAAGGAAGTCAGGAAGCTATCATATGATCTCAATGTGAAAGCCCTAAGGATCCATAGAAATGCTGTGAGACCCTCCCCCCCCCATAGCCACGACCTTGGTTCAGGCAGTGAGACCACAGGGCCCCAAAAGCACAGCGCAGATAGGCACCCATTGGTAAGCAGAGTGATCTCTAGAATACGAAGCTCTGCTTTTCAAGATGAAAAGATGCATGGGTTAGGTGTTGTCAACCCTGAGTCTGTGAGGTGATGAGGCAACCAGCACGGCCTCCTCACCTGGGGATACCGGGACTGCTCTGGGCTGAGGCCTGGCCTAGGGTGTGGGGTTTGGGTAGCCTGATCTCAGTCTTCAGGGATGCTTCACCTTCACCCCCTGGCCAAGCAGCCAGAGTCCTCCTGAGCCAGCTCTCCCTTTTCCCATGGTGGTTCTGTACTGCCTCTTCAGGCCTCAGCCCTCACCTGTCCCCACCCTGCCTGCACATATGATGTGAAAGGCAACTGAGCAACTGTGTTTTCCCTCTCCAAGAGAATGCCCACTCCTCAAGGGTAAGCATTATGTCTAGTGTCTTCTTTCCTATATCCTCAGGGTTTGAAACTGGCTTGATAACTATTATTAAATAAACAAATGAGCCTGGTGTGGTGAGGCACACCTGTGATTCCAGTTCCTCAGGAGGCTGAGGGAGGAGGGTGGCAGGTTACAGACCAGCTTGGGAGACTTGGTCCTTGACTCAAAATGAAACTTAAAAAGGGGCTGGGAATGTATTCAGGAATAGAGCTCTTGCTTGCCATGAACAAGGCTCTAGGTTTGATCCCAGTACTAAAAAAGAAAAGGAAAAAAAAAAAAAAAAAGAACAAAGGCCCACACCTTTTGATGCAGAGCATCTTTGAGCATGGTTCTTTGTCACAAGCTGTTTTCAGTGGGCAGCAGGTATTTTCCAGAGATGTCTGAAAATCCCAGCTTTTTAGTGGCAAGCCCCTGACAGTCCCGTGACTCTATGGAGTTCTTGTACTAACAGCTGCATTTCTACTCCAGTCCTGTGGGCTGTGTCCCGTCATTCTGGTCACTTCAGTTCCTGATCACCATGGTTCTTCCCCTTAGGAGAGCTGCATCTCCAGTACCTTTACATGACTGCTATATCTTCTGTGTCAAGTTCCTTCTCTGCCTCAGTAACAGGGGTATCGGTCAGCAATGCCTCACAGGTGGCAGAGGGTGTGACAGGCCACATCCAGGCATTCTGGGGGCTCTGTCTCTGCCGCAGGAGCAGCTGACCAGGAATCTGTCCTCCCAGGATTGCTTCTCATCAGAAGGAACTGACAGCATGTGGTGCCCTCCACTCGTGAGGGCCTGGGGCTGCTCCAAGGGAAGAGCAGGGAGCCAAGTACCTTCTAAAGTGGAAGACAGTAGGGGGCTGAGCCAGCTTGTGTTCCCCACTGAGCACCCCACACACTCAGAGGCAGCTGTGTCCACGTGGTCCCTGTGCCTTGGAGACAGTCAAGGTTCCCTGACAGGAGAGAGGTTTTGTTCAAACAGCATCTGTGCCCACCTCACCTGCTTCCCATCCCCACCCCAAGTTTGCATCATCTTAGCTGAGTGGATGGACAAGATCCAAGGTGCAGAGTAGCCAGCTAGAAATGCCCACCCTGATCTCCATGACAGTCTGCAGAACTGGAACCTGTACCTTGAGCAATTGCCCTAGGGGTTGGGACTTTCCTTTTTCTCACTGCAAAAGTCCTACAAACCATTTGAAAACCAAAGGATTTGACTCATTTAAAACATTGGTTGACAGACAGCTTGATAATGGAGTTTTCACCAGGGTTTCCAGCTGAGTTGAGCCCCAGGACTTTAAAGACCCTTGGGGCTGGGGATTTAGCTCAGTGGCTTAAGTGCCTGCCTGGTAAGTGGAAGGTCATGAGTTCGATCCCCAATACAAGGAAAAAAAAAAAAAAAAAAAAAAAAAAAGACCGTCTCTAGGACCTCCTTCCCAACCTCATTATTCAACCTGAACCCAGTTTCTCTTTTAAGAAAGTCATGGGAAAGTGCTTCAAGCTGCTTCAAAGCTTCAAAGCCACTGGAGTGGCTCCTGGGAAAAGGCATCTCCTGGCTTTTGGGTCACCAAAGTCCACAAGAGGAATAGCTAAACCACATCATTTTTTTTTTTTGTCCTTTTCGTTTTTATCGGTACCAGGGATCGAACTCATGACTGCCTGCTTGCAAGGCAGGCGCTTATGCCGCTGCACTAAATCCCCAGCCCCAAACCACATCATTTTGAAACACAGAGGACAAAGACGCAAACAACTGATTGGGGGTGGGGAAGAACTGGTACCTACCTGGGAAACACAGAGAAGTGGAGCTTCTCTCCCCCCATGGCACTAGTGCATGTGTATACATGGCACACATGTGTGCTCTGTGACTTCGGGGACCCAACATTTGGGATGATGCCAACCCAGGCTGAGTCCATACCCTGGCTCTTTGGAAGCAGAGGGACAGCAACTTGTGTACCTCAGGCTCCTCTTCTGTCAAGTAGGATGGACAGCAATATAACAGCTGTTGAGGGCTCATGACAGTGCCTGGTACTGAGGAGGGTGCTGGCATCAAGCCCCAGTGCTGGGCCAAGTCACCTCATATATCCTCCTTGATTGTGCTGCTTGTGTCAGGAGGCCCATTCATCTCCCTGCAATGATACCCCATCCTGTCCTCGCACTGCATGCCAGCAGCTGAGGTCATGGAGGTCTGTCCCTGTTCCCCATCAAAGGCAGCCATCTGAACAGGGGCCCCCATCTCCTATGTGTGGGCCCTGGAGGGCCGCAGTGTGAGACAATACCCAGGCAGCTGGCCGTGGACATAGGCCCTCGTGGCTTTTAGTTGCACCACCCAGAGGAGCAGGCAGCATATGAGAAACACAGGTCCTCTTGTTCTCGCCAAGTGGGACCCTGGCTTCAAGCAGACGCAGCTGTTTGTCTTTCAGATCCTAGTGATACAGAGGGAGGCAGCCAGGGTCCAGCAACCTGGCTTTAGCAGGGGGAAGGCCACAAGGGTGGAGGTGGGGGCTGCCATAGTGACCCCCAGGGACTGGGAGACAGCTGGTTGAAAGTTGGCTGGCTCATATCGGGACTGTTTTAACAAAGCTACTTGTAGACAAGACATAGGGAGGAACAGGAGAAAGTAACTGTGTAAAGCTGGGGACACAAAGAAACAAGACATGCCAGAAAGGCTTTTCCTAAATCTGTTGACTTTGACCAGAGACCCCCCAGGAGCAGGGGGAGGTAGGAGCACCAACCCAGCCAGAGCTTAAGAACCTCCATGATCTGTCCAGGTCACTACACCTGCTGCTGGCCTGAGTCTCCATTCCCCTGCTAGCCCTAGCCAGGGATCCTTGCCCTGACACTTGTCACAGATTTTCCTAAATCCAGAAAAGTAAGGAGAGGCAGCTGGATCAGACAGGACCAACGTAGGAGCTGGGTGCCGGCCACCGCCCTGAGATATGGACACAGACGCGGACACAGGGACCCACACAGACCGGGGACGCGGGATCCAGGGCATGGCAGGGCCTCTGTGGCCTAAGGGGCTGAGGGGCACATGCGGGGGGTGGCGGAGACTGGAGGCGTAGGAGAATCCTGGGGTTCGCAGGACGGGGGGAGGATGCGCCGAGGCTCAGGGCCAAGTGGATGTCATGCGAGACGGCTAGGAACACGGCGCCGGGCGTCGAATGCAGTGGAGTCTGGACACAGAGTCTGTGGCTCGACGGACCCAACCCCTGCGGAGAGAGAAGCCGTCGGGGGAGGGGCGGGGGAATCTGTGCGCACGCGCGTCTCTGCGCGTTCCCGCGGCGAGGGCGGGGATGCCCGCGGGGCGCGGACCTCACTTCCGGCGAGCGGTAATTGGGCGCGTGGCAGGAGAGCGACCAATCGGTGGTGCAGCTCGGCGGGGGGGCGGTGCTTCCCTGACACTGCCCTCCGAGGCACCGCCCCCCGGCCCGCCCGCCGCCCGCCGCCCGCGGCCCCGGCGCCATGTGATCGCGCCGCGCCCTCCCTCGCGCCCGGCCCCGCCCGCCGCCGCTAGCCCGCCCGCCGCGCGCCCGCGGCCCGGCGCAGCCCCAGGCCGCCGAGGGACGGCGGGGCCGGCGCCATGGCCGAGCGGGGCCGTCTCGGCCTCCCCGGCGCGCCGGGCGCGCTCAACACGCCGGTGCCCATGAACCTGTTCGCCACCTGGGAGGTGGACGGCTCCAGCCCCAGCTGTGTGCCCAGGTACGCGCCCGCGCCCTGCGCTTTGTCCGCGCGCACCTGCCCCGCCGGGCCTGCGACTGCCGGTACCCGCGCCCAGAGCACAGCCGGTGGGGCCCGAGTCAGGCTGCCCGGGTCTGAGGGGGCAGCCCGGATCTGATCGGGCTGAGACTCCGGGTCGGAGTGCCAGGTTCCCCTGGCCCGCGCCCAGTCTTCCCTTGACACCTGCCTCTGGCGCGCGCGGGGTTCCAGCCGGGTACCGCAGTTGCCCTCGAGTCCAGACACTGTCAAGCCTCGAGGCCTGGGAGTGACCCTCAGGCGCGGTGTCACAGGACAGCTACAATCAGCGCAGGACCAACGTGTCCCCTGTCTGGAGGACTCCAGGCCGCCCCTTCGTCCAGCGGGCCGGGCCGGGTCGGTTCCCTCCTTATGTTTAGCCCTGCCTGGCCCTGTGGAGACATCTTCTGAACCCCAATGCTTTTTGACTGGAGCTGCTGATTTTGACATTGCAAAGGCTCAGCGCCCTGCACTGGGTAGGTGGCTGCCCATTAGTCCAGGGGCAAGGACTGGGCCCTGGCTTACCCGCAGGGCCGAGCCCTGGGCAGTTATGGTAGAGTGGTAGCTTCCCGGTTTCTCCCGCACTGCTTGAAACTTTTGTGTGTGTGTGTGTAAGTGTGGGTGTGTCTGTGTGGTGTATGTGTATGGTTGACTTGGTTCCTGTTCAGGGAGCTTTCAGAGTGGGAGTGGTGAGTGGTGGGGGAGACGACACTGTCCTGCAGGATTCTGGCCAGGAATTGGAGCCATGTGGGGGTGGTGGGGAAACCTCCTACCTCCCAGCAGGGACCTCACTTTGGGCATGCAGCACAGGATGTGGCCCTGCAGGGCTGGGGAGAGCACATGGGACTCTGGCCTTCAATTTCCCTGCTGGGAGTACATCACACTATTTCTGAGTGTGGTGTTGGGGAAGCAGAGGGCACCAGCCAGTGGGTTTGCCCTTCCTCAGCACAGGGATGGGAAAGGCAGGACTGCCACTCCTAGTGTGGCCCTCAGGAGGACTCATTTCGCTGTTAGGGTCAACATTTGCCTGGAAGCCAATCCCAAAAGCATCTCCCAAGCTCCACATGCAGGGATCATGCTGGAGCCTCCCATGTTTCCTGTCTCTCCCTCTTTGTATCACCAGCCCCAACGGCTCCTGGACCTCCTATGCTAGCCCATCCCCACCCATGAGGGCCCCAGAGCAGACTTGGACCTGGCTGCTTTTGGCTGGGTTTCCTGAGTGAGGATCAAAGACTTGTGACGTGGTCTCCTTGTGTTGCCCAGACTGGTCTCAAACTCTTGGGCTCAACTAGTTCTGCCTCAGCCTCCCAAATGGCTGAGAGTAAAGGCACAGGCCACGCAGCAGGCTAGAAGTGAGGTCTTTAACCTCAGGGAGGTGGAGGAGTGTGACCAGGGCCACTGCCAGCCTCATTGTGGAGCCAGGGTCTGTTGTTAGAAAGGAAAGCATGGGCTGGGGATTTAGCTCAGCGGCATAAGCGCCTGCCTTGCAAGCAGGCAGTTGTGAGTTCGATCCTGGTACCGATAAAAAGGAAAAAGACAAAAAAAAGAAAGAAAAGAAAGGAAAGCACGAAGACACAACAGGCAGCAGACAGGTAGGGAGCCCTGGACTAGGTAGCACTGGGTGCTGGTGTGATCTGCGCTGACAGGACAGTGGGCCAGATCTGTGGTATGGAGTGTGGCAGGGAATGCAGAGCTTCTGTTCTGAGCTACCCTTTACCTGTCCTTCGCTGTGCTTGTCCAGGCTGTGCCATGTGCTTGCATCACAGGTATGCACACCTTAGACAGTGACAACCCACTGCTCATCTGGGGACTTTCTGCCAGTGGCATTGTTTTCCCTATGTGTCCCTGTGTTTAGCTCTCTGGGCTGCATTTGTAAGTTGGCTGGTGACATGTTCACTGTTATATAGTATTCCCCAGGACAATACCACTGAATCTTGGTTGGCACCAAGGGACGTTTGGTTTGTTTTCAGTTCTTGGATAATTACAAATCTTCCATGTAGACATCCTGGTCTCTGTCTCCTGCATGATAGTAGTGACATGGCCTTGTGTTGGTTGGTTGCTAGGATGTGGAGTGTAACCATGTGTAGTTCTGTGTGGCCACCTGGCTGTATCCCAGAGCAAGGTTGCTAGCCCTGGCCCCACCAGCAGAGGTGAGAGTCCCCTTAGCTCCACATTAATGCCTACATGTGTGACTTAATTTTTTTCCAGTCTAATGGGTGTGAAGTGGTATTGTGGTTTTAACTTGAGTTTCCCTGATAGCTAATCTAGACCACGTATACATCCTTGTCAATGAAATTCCTGTTCATTTCTTCTGCCAATTTTTATTTTTCTCTGTTTTCCTACTTGACTCTCAGCAGCTTCTGTAGGGGAGAGTAATCCTTTATCAGCTATATTGTGTTGAAAGCACCCTCCTCCAATTTCAGGTGTCTCTGCCTTCTTTCATGCCCTTCCGTGGTCGCTTGGCTCACCCTGGGGCTTGTGTACCCTCTGGTCTGTAGGCTCAGGTCATCTCTGTTGATTCTGGTGTTGGTTTGGTGTTGGTACTGGTAACAGAGTTCTCCGACCCCAAGGAATTGTTCCAGCCACTCTACTAGAGGGAGGGCTGAGTCCTGGTGTCCCTCTATGTGCCCGGGTGCAGCAGCACTGCCACCCTTGATGGCCCTCTGCACCTTCTGCTGGGCATATAGTTGGTACTGCCTTTGCCCCTCCTGCCCCTTTCCTCACCTGTCCCCACCTGCTCCTCAGCAACCTTTGCTGTTTTGGACCTGAAACTCTCACTTGATCTTGTCTCCTACTGCGGTTCATGGGTTCCTTTATAAACTCTATTTAGTGCACTGTGCAGTCTTGACCACTGTCGTCTCCTGGCCCATGTTCTCAGTGCACGGAGGGAAGTCCAGGTTCATTCCCTAGAGTAGGAGCCTGGAGCCTCAACATGTCCTGTGAGTTGTGACAGATGTGTAGCCCTGAAGGCACAGAGTGTGTCTGTATCATCAGAGAGGCTTTGTGTCCCTTCCACTCAGCTCTGACGCTGCCATGCTCCTCCACAGTCAGTGCTGTCCATCTTCCAGAAGGCCATGTATGTGCCCTTACCGACCAGCACCAGGCCATGCTGCTTCTGTGAGCTACCCTGGCCTTTTCACCACTGTATTCTATTCTCTGGTCGTAGTGACCTGCCCCGAGTGCTCCTGTGGGTGGAAGTGTGGGTGCTTCCAGCCTGGGGCCCTGTGTCATGGAGAGCAGTCCCCTTGTGCTGGCTCTTCCTTTGTATGCGGGGCACAGGGCCAGTCTTCTTGCCGGCCTGCCTGTCTCCCGCCCTCCCTCCCTTCATCTGCTTTTGCAGTACTGGAACTGAGCTACACATTTTATTTCTTGAGACAGGATATCATTTGTTTTTTATTTTTATTTTTAAAGCAGAATATATTTATTGAGCGAAAAAAATTTTTGTCCCAGAGACACAGAAAGGGGCCCGAGTGAGTTGCCAAAGACTTTGCCTTTTCTAAGAAGTTTTGTAGAGCAGAACCACAAGGTAAGGTAGGTCTAGGTTGGGGAAAAATGGGAAACTACAAGGATATCATTTGTTACGTCACTAAACTGGGTGGGCTGTGCTCAAACTTTTCTTCCTCTTGCCTCAGCCTCCCAAGTGCTGAGTTTATGGCATGAGCCACTGTGTCTGGGTAGTCTGTATTTTGTGTGATTGGACTGAGTCCTTTGTCAGATACATAGACGGTGAATATTTTCTCCTTGTGTGTGGTTTGCCTCTTCATTTCTTCATGATGTTTTGTTTGTTTGGTTTTTGGTTTTTTAGAGACAGAATCTCTTAGTTCAGGCTGTCCTCAAACTCTCGAACTCACTGAGTCCAAGCTGGCCTCAAATTTATGGCAATCCTCCTGCCTCAGGCTCCTAAGCACTGGGATTACAGGCATGCACCACCCGCCTAGCATTCTTTTTGCTTACTGGAGATTGAACTCGGCATGGCTTATGCTAGACCAACACTAAACACTTTATCACTGAGCGAAATCTCCACCCACCCCGCCCCGCCCCCGTTTAAATTTTGAGACTGAGGCCTATTGTTGACTCAGGCTTCGGTAAGCAGAACTTGAATTTGGGATCCTTTTGACTCGGCTTCCTAAGTAGCTTGGATTACAAATGTGAGCCACCATGCTCAGCTCATGGTGTGTTCTGATGAGCAGAAGTTTGTAATTTTGATGAGGTTCAAAGTAAGCAATCTCAAGGTCACAAAGGTGCCTTTCCAGCAGTTTTACAGTTTTGGCTTCTTCGTGTAGGTACAGTGCTCACCCTAATTCATGTGGCTGTAGCGTGAGATTGAGTTGGCAGTGCTGGTGTGACTTTCAGAAGCATTTCGTGTGCTTCCATGCAGAGCCACAACATGGTTCAGAAGGGAATTTCGTGACTCAGACCTGGTGCCAGAGTGGCCCCGTTTCCTTGTGAATATGCCTGCAGTGACAGTGACAGATCTCTCTCTGTATTGTGCTCGCCTTGTTAGATGACTCCTAAATGCTTGTATCTTATGTCACATACTTCTATTGTCTGTTACTGATACATAGAAATTTAGTTTATTTGTGTTGTTTTGTATTGGTACTGACGGGGAAGACAGCCCTTTGCCACTAGGCTGCACCAGCAGCGCCGAGTCTGGGACCAGAACCACCATTTAGAATTTTGCGGTTTTTTTTTTTTTTTGAGGTCTCACTATGGTGCCAGAGTGGCCTTGAATTCCAGGCCTGGCAGCCTCTCCTGCCTCACTCTTCAGGAGCTGGGGCTGTAGCTGTCCACCACCGCCTCCTAACCTGGCGCTTACCCATAGAGTCCTTTGCCTTTGAAAGGTGTAGGTTACTTCCTTTTCTTGCCTCACTACTCTGGCCCTCACTGTGCAGCGCTGAACAGAAGTATTTGTGATGTATCCTGTTGTGTTTGAAGTTTTAGTGTTTAGATGTCTGCTGTAACTTTGTGTTTTATTTTTTTATTTTTGACACAGGGTCTCACTGAATTGCTAAACTGCTGAGGGTGGGCTTGAATTTGAAATCCTCCTGCCTTGGCCTCCCAGGCTGAGATTACAGCCACCATGCCTGGCTCCCGCTAGAACTTTTCTGTAGATGCCATTATGAGGTTACCCACTTACCAGTCCAATTATTTAAATAGAGGATGTTGGCCTCACATGATGTCGTGAGTTCGATCCCCAACACCAAAAATAAATAAATAAATAAATAGAGGATGACCAAATATTACAAATTTTTTCATTAATTTTATAAGCTAATATAACAGGACATGTAAAAATGACAATTTTATCAAATTTATTCAATACATATATTGACTGTTTGAAATGACACCTTCCTCAGCTCAGGATAGTCAGTATATAAACAAATGCAGTACTCAAGTAATACTTGGGGTCACTGTTAAGTGGTTAAAAAAGAGTTCCAGCAGCTGATTTACAGATGAGTATCACTTTAGAAGAAAATAT